CTCGGTTAGGGTGTTTTCCAAGGTGTTAACCCCTTTTTGGTTTGGATGGAGATCCTGCTACACATCTCTATTAAGAGGTCGATACTTCAGTAGAGTTTATGTGGACAAATGTGTTGAATCTCTAGTATGGGCTCAGTCGGGCTCACTCCATATCTGATGCAATGAGTCCTCCCTCATGAAGGGTGCAGTGAATTAGCTTCTTTAAACTGTTGATTCAGATTAACAGAGGAATTTGCCATTCCCTTCCTCTGAGGGTGTGACTTGCCCTGAGTCATCCATTGGGTTTCTGTGGTTCAGCAGGGATTTGAACTTTGGTCTTCCAGAGTTGTAATCCAACACTCAAACCACTGCACCACTCTGACTTGCTTCTCCTAAATATGCATTTAGGTTTCTTAACTCATTAGCAACTAGCATAATGCTTCAGGAAAAGGAGTGGTATGGAGTCATGACTCACCACCATCTTGGTCAGAAGAGAAAACAGAGAAGGAGAAGTGAGATGGAGGATTCTCTTTGCAATTATCATTTCCTGGAATTTGCTGTCATCACAGTAGCTGGTGGGAAAAAACTCAAAATAATAATATGTAGTATACTTGACCAATAATATCCATTTAATCATTGCACCAGTGTATGTAGTGATTTGAGTGTTGGACTACAACTCTGGAAGACTGAGGTTCAAATCCTTGCTGAGCCATGGAAACCCACTTGATGACCATAGGGCAAGTCACAGTCTCAGGGGAAGGCAATGGCAAATCCTCTTTCTGGCCAAATCTTGGCCAGAAAATCTCATGGTAGGTTCTTCTTGGGGACACCATACAGTGAAGGCACATACTAACTTTTCATTGTTTTTTCTTATTTCTTATAAATTATTCCTCTTATTCTTTCACAGTCTACTCAACTATTGTAATCTATTGTTAACCTATTGTAACCAAGACTGCATCTACACTGTAGAAACAATGCAGTTTGACACCACTTTAACTGACAGGGTTCCATCCTACAGAATCCTGGGATATGTAGTTTTGAGAGGCACCAACATGGTGTTGTGTTTTGAGTGTCGGACTACAACTCTAGAGGACAGGGTTCGATTCCCTGATTGGCCTTGAAGCCCATTGGATGACTCTGGGCAAGTCACATGCTCTCAGCCTCAGAGGAACACAATGGCAAACCTCCTCTGAACAAATCTTGCGAAGAAAACTCCATGATAGATTCACCTTGGAGTCGCCATAAGTCGGAAACGCCTTGAATACACACAACAACTACCATGAGGCACCATCACTCTTTGTCAGAGAAGGCTAAAGACCTTATAAAACAACAAATCCCAGGATTCCATAGGATGGAGCTACAGCACTTAAAGTGGTGTCAAACTGCATTATTTCTACAGTGTAGATGCACCCCATGTCTAAGGATTTAAGTTTTTCCAGTAGTTTCTTACAGCCCTTTTACCTAGAATCCTTCTTTCCGAAAGGCTAGTTTAGCTGCAGATGACAGCTGCCTCAAGAGTTGCAAATTTAATGGTTATGGTCCCTTCAAGCAACCATTACTCCCCTCTCCTAGGCTCAGTCTTTGTTCTATATCCAAGTGCTACCATAGCAACTACACTAAAACAATAAAATATTATTTTTTTTAAAAAAATCACAAAACAACAATAACAACTGTGATAATAAAAATAGCAGCAAGGAACAGCAATATAAAAATGAGAGAAACAGCAGGAGTAAAACAAATGATCCATTAAATAGCACAAGAGAATAGCTCCAGTCTTTACCTGGAGTGGAAAAGCTAGTAAAATAGGCATTAAGCAGATGTCCTTGGGGAAGGTATTCCATGACTTGTATGTGAGGGCGAGCATTGAAAGGCCCCCATCTTCAGTCACCATCTGCCTCACCTCTCAAGGAAGCAGGACCTGGTCTTGGTTTCAGATCATCTTAAAAAAGGACAAACTCATAAGATCATGACCATCATCTTGGTCTACTAAGGATCCTGAAAGCAATATATCGGCCAGAATCCTCCTGATGACATACGGTACATATATGCAAGCTGCCTTGTTGTTGTTAATAGTCTTTGAGTCAATCCCAGCTCATGGTGACCCTGTGGATGAGACATCTCCAAGACTCCCTGTCCTCCACTGCTCTCCTTAGGTCCTGCAAATTAATACCTGTGACCTCCCTAATAGAGTCTATCCATCTAGCATGGGGTCCTCCTCTCTTTCTACAGCCCTCCACCTTTCCTAGCCTTAGTTTCTTTTCCAATAAGTTGTGCATTCTCATGATGTGGCCAAAGTATGACAGCCTCAATTTGATCATCTTGGCTTCCAGGGAGATTTCAAGCTTGATCTGCTCAAGGACCCATTTGCTCATCTTTTTGACTGTCCGTGGTATCCTCAGCACTCCTCTTCAGCACCACATCTCAAATGTGTTGATTTTCGTCTTATCCGTTTTCTTCACTGTCTAACTCTCACACTCCCATACATGGTAATGGGGAATGTGATGGCTTGGACGATTCTAACTTTGGAGCTCAATTGTTTATCTTTACACTTCAAGATCTTGTCTAGTTCTTTCATTGCTGTTCTTCTGATATCTTGGCCGCAGTCCCATTCTGATCTATGTTTGATCCAAGGTGCAAGAATTCTTTTACTATTTTGATTTCCTCATTGCCTAAGTTGAATGTATGTAGGTCCTCAGTGGTCATTACTTTTGTTTTCTTACATATTCATCTGTTGTTGTTGTTGTTGTTGTCCACATCTAGTTCCAGTTTGTATATGCAGTGGGGATCGTAACTATATTAAAAATATTCAGAACTTTTTGAATCAGTTTTTCAACAATCAGAAAACCCTAGGCAGGTGCAAATCTTCCCAATTCAGGACTTTGTAGTGCTGTGGTGTAAAGGGGCCTGAGATGTGGCTGAAATCTACCCAGACTTGCCGCACAGCAGTGCTCCTACCAAACCTTTTCCTTGGATATCCAATCATTTGTGCAGCACAGATGAGGCCATGGTTCCATCCTATACAATCCTGGGGTTTGTAGTTTGGTGAGGCACTATAGCAGGGGTTGGCAACCTGCAGGCCGCATCCGGCCCACCGAGGCCTGCCAACCGGCCCCTGCCTGGTCCTGCCGCTGCCGCTGCTGCCTTTTGTGGCTGCAGAGGTCCTCCGGGGTGCCATTTTGTGTTCCAAAATGGTGGCCAGAGTCTCGCACAACCTTTCCCATTTTGGCCCACGACAGGAAAGGTCGCGCAAGATTCCGAGCACCATTTTGGAACACAAAATGGCACCCCGGAAGACACTCGTGGCCGCACAGAGCCTCTCCGAGGCCCGACGCAGTCAAGGGAGCCCTCCTGGGGAACCCCCACGGCCGCACTGGGCCTCTCCAAGGCCTGGTGTGGTCGAGGTAGCCCTCCTGGGAGCACACCATGGTGGTGCCACCATGACCCGGGGTGCCTCAGGGGACAGGGGGACCAGCCCCACCCCCAAAAAGGTTGCCGACCCCTGCACTATAGCTTTCAGGCTATAGATGGGTGGGCATCTGTTGGGGTTGCTTTGATTGTGTATTCCTGTATGACCCTTAAGATGGGCCCATGGCAGTTAGAGTGGAATAACAGCATTATAATTCCATAGTGTGAATGGGCCCTTTCCCCCAGCTCTGTTCTTAGCCCTTTTGTAAGCACTGTTTTTAAAACCACATGGGAGCATTGGTATAACCAAAGAAACGTTTCCAAGATGTGCTTTGAACAGAAAACAGTCAAGGCAATGCTCTCACTCTGAAGTTCCACCCCTTGCCCCGAAGGCTGGAGGTCTCCCCTGAGATCTGGGGGCTCTATTTATATCTGCTGTCATTTTCTCCTCCTGTAAGTAAAGCAACAGCATTCCAGTCACTCTGAAGCTGCAAGGAGGATTTGGATTCTCCATTAAAATCCATTGCATTGCTATGTGTGCCTGCCGAGGCAGCAATCAGTCCCCCGGTGTGATAATAATACATATTACCTACCACCTTTTCCTCCTCCAAGTGTGATATGGAGTGTGAGCTAATTAATCCTGCCAGGTAGAGGATGTGTTACTAAATAACTCACCATGGCTCCATCTCAGGGACTCTGCCCCCATCCAAAGCAAACCTCAGGTGGGAGGTGGTGCGGGGACTGGAGTTTCAGACAGGATTGGAATAGAAGAAACAGAATAAATGCATGAGATAATGCACTATATGAGATCATTTTCAGATAAATCGTGGGATATGGGACAAGATTTGGAAAGCATGCCCTATGAGGAGCAGTTTAGGAAACTGGGTATGTTCAGCCTGGAAAAGAGGAGGTTAAGGGGTGACATGATAGCCCTGTTTAAATATTTGAAAGGGTGTCACATTGAGGATGGAGCAAGCTTGTTTTGTGCTGCTCCAGAAAATAGGACCTGGAGCAATAGATTTAAACTACAGGAAAAGATATTCCACCTCAACATTAGGAGGAACGTCCTGATGGTAAGAGCCGTGGGACAGTGGAATATGCTGCCTTGGAGAGTGATGGAGTCTTCTTCCTTGGAAGTTTTTAAACAGAGGCTGGATGGCCATCAGACAGTGCTGTGATGGTGAATTCCTCCACGACAGAATGGAGTTGGACTGGATGGCCCTTGTGGTCTCTTTCATGATTCTATGATTCTGTTGTTGTGGGCCTTCAAGTCATTTCCGACTTATAGTGACCCCAAGGTGAACCCATCATGGGGTTTTCTTGGCAAGTTTCTTCAGAGGAGGTTTGCCATTGCCATAGAATCATAGAATCATAGACTCATAGAGTTGGAAGAGACCCCAAGGGCCATCCAGTCCAACCCCCTGCCATGCAAGAACTCAAAATCAAAGCATCTCCGACAGATGACCATCCAGCCTGTGTTTAAAGACCTCCAAAGAAGGAGACTCCACCACTTTACAAGAGAGTGTGTTCCACTGTCAAACAGCTCTCACTGTCAGGAAGTTCCACCTAATGTTGAGGTGGAATCTCTTTTCCCAAGGTCACCCACTGGGTTTACATGACTGAGCTGGGATTCACACCCTGGTCTTCAGAGTAACAGTCCAAAACTCAAACCACTGCACCACTCTGGCTTTTGGATTCTATAAATAAATAGATGAAAAGAAGTCAATTGGAAATACTCATGCATGGCTTGGTTGTTCAGGGCCCCAGGGCTTGAGCCTAGACTTATATGTCCTCCAGCTCGAATGGAGCCTATGGGGCTATATGAGTCTCTATAGCTGGGCAGGGATGTAGCTATGGCAAGGGGGTGAAGGCATTGCCTCCCAAATAAGAATGCTGCACCCCATGAAATGATCTTTCAGTCCCCCAAGTTCTAGCATTGCAATAGCTCAAAATTTCAGATGAGCATTTCTTGGAGGCTTTAGAATCCTTTTTAGACAGGAACTAAGAATTTAAAGTACCTCCCTAAGCTACGAATCCCAGGATTTCTTATAATACAGCCATGACATTTATAATGGTATAGGATTGAGATAAGTTTGTAATATAGGTACACCTAGAGACTATAGTCCAGTGTTGAAAAGGGATGTAATTCCTCACTCAATTTCTTTACAAATGAAGCAATGAGGAATTATAGCAATTTTCTTCCTGCTGCAAGAAAGTAATAGAATCATAGAATCACAGAGTTGGAAGAGACCCCAAGGGCCATCCAGTCCAACCCCCTGCCATGCAGGAACTCAAAATCAAAGCATCCCCGACAGATGGCCATCGAGCCTCTGTTTAAAGACCTCCAAAGAAGGAGACTGTGCAGTTTTTGGACTCTATTTGCAATTTGGGACTAACACTGTGCAAAATTTGCATGTGGTTGTACTGTGCAGACACCAACATTTTCTGTGCCGGAAACAGCATTTTCTGCACAAGAAGCAGTATTTCCCATGCAGAAAATATTTCTATGCAGAAATACTATTTCCAGCACAGAATCAATTTTCTGTGCAAAACAACCACATACTCTTCTCATTAGGGTTTCTTAACACACACACACACAAAAGCACTTCTTTGGGGAAATGTTTCAAATAATTTCAAATATTCTTTCCATGTCTAATGGTGAATGTTCATGTTTTCTTTACCTTACTCCTATTTGGTAGGTAAATGGAATCAGAGCTTGTTGTTTTGAATGCAGAGCCATCCTTACCTTTCATTTCCTGACAAAAATTAAATACTAGATGGGTACTTTATTGTCTTAGCTTAGAAAGCCTTGACAGACTGTATATGTCACCATTAAACAATACAATAAACAATGAAAAGCAAGTCTTTTTGAAAAGCAATAGATAATAATTCCATAGCTACAGCCTTCCAGTCATGCATTTAAACTATGTCTTTGTGCCAATCCATATGTCCAGAGTCCATAAAAAGTTTGTGGTTGTTGTTTTGGTATATTTATTTGTGTCTCAAAAATTCCCCCCTCCCAATAAATTGGGATTCAAAGTGACTCACAATTTATATGAAAAATACAGTTAAAACATACAAAAAGCGAGGCTTAAAATAGAATTAAATTATTTAAATATTAAAACAATTCAGCCGTAAGTCAAAAGAATAAAGTGCAATTAAGTAAATAAAAAGCTTTTTGTAGGGGTTTTTTGGGCTGTGTGGCCATGTTCTAGAAGAGTTTCTTTCTGACGTTTCGCCAGCCTCTGTGGCTGGCATCTTCAGAGATGCCAGCCACAGAGGCTGGCAAAACGTCAGAAAGAAACTCTTCTAAACATGGCCACACAGCCCGAAAAACCCCCACAAAAAACTATGGATGCCGGCCATGAAAGCCTACGACATCACAAATAAAAAGCTGTTTAAAACTGTTCACTTAAAACAATGCAACACCCCCTGGGCTGTTATTTAAAAGCTTTCTGTTTTAAAAGCCTATCTGAATAAAGAGGTTTTAATGTGCCATTGGAAAGGCAAGGAGGGGTGCATTCTGGGCCCCCTTAGAAGGAGGTTCTAGAGTCTGGGGTCAGCCACCAAGAAAGTCATCTCTCATGTCCTCACCACCGATGGTGTTGGGAATGAGAGAAGGGCCTCTCCTGAGGATCTCAGAGCCTAGGATGGCTCATATGGGAAAATACGGTCTGCCAAATAGCCTGGACCTGAGACACCACTTTGTCAGTGGCGTCGTAACCACCACTTTGAATTATTCATGGAAACAAACTGCCAGTTTTCCCAAATTTGGTGGCACCTGCAGCAGACAGCATTAGACAAAGCTAACAGTGGAATCCTCTACATTTCTGTTGCTGTGTGCCTTCAAATCATTTCCGCCATACGGCGACCCAAAGGCAACCCTATCACAGGGTTGCCATCCTCTGAGGCTAAGGGAGTGTGACTTTCCCAGGGTCACCCAGTGGGTTTTATGACTGAACCAGGATTGGAACCTTGTTCTCCAATGTCCAGTGCTCAGACCACTACACCGCGCTCTACATTTCTACTTAGAAGCAAACCCCACTGCATCACTTGATGGAGTTCTGTGTTGCTAGGAAGTGGGATGCTGCAGGATGGTGTGACCCTAACCCTAACCCTAACCCCTTCCACCCATGAGTGTCATGCGATGAGCAGAAGCAGGGGGCCCTGTGGGATCCTGTCACAGCCCCTTGTCACCCCATTGCTTACTGGTGGGATGGGGGTAACTCACATCATCCTGAATGCTCCAGTCACCAGTGCTCAGTGCAACAAGCTGGCTTTTAAAGTGAGTTTTAGGGATCAGTTGAGGAGAGGGAGCATTGCTAAGATATTGTACCCAGAGCAATATCATACCTAGGGGGTACCTAGGGGGATGCAGGACCAGGTGATACCCTAAGTGGGATGACACCACTTCTCCCCAAACATCTGCCTTTCAGCAGAAATGGGCCATGGTGTTCACCTAGATCCCTTTAAAACATGGGAACTCAGCAGAAGAGAT